ACACTCAAACACACACACACACTCAAACACTCACACACACACACACACTCAAACACACACACACACTCAAACACTCACACACACACACACACTCAAACACACACACACACTCAAACACTCACACACACACACGATGGCACTAAGCCGGTGTAATCCAGCTCAACAATGGAGCTGCTCTGTTCTGCACCGCAGGATAAATCCTGAAACCTCTCAATCCTCCAGACTCCCTGAGTTTCTTCATGGAGATTTGACAGCGAGTCAAAGTCCGAGTTCTGAATCAGAAACACGTGTCGGATCCGTTCCCAGAGGAAGGCCGGCTGCTCCCGGGAAGCCGCTTAAATCCGCTTCGAGCGCTGCAGGTTTCTCTGCAGGAATCCTTTCTGCTTCACTCAGCGCTAGCACCGCTAGCTGTCCAGGCTTAGGAACCAGATGAAGAGCTGCTGCAGTGTTTTATTTTGTAATAATCCAGATTAGGACTCAGATGTCAGGGTGTAAATCTGAGGAACAAACGGCTGGCAGGTTCCAGGTGGTTCTGAGTGAAAACCGGGTCGTTATCGTGTGACGGTCCTGACCAGACGGTCATCAGACTGCTCTTCATTACAAAGCTGCTTCTGACTTTACAAAGTCCACTTTATTTTATTTGCATCTTTTAAAGCAAAACACCATGAAAGGCACAAAAATAAAATTTATTAAATTAAATTAATAACCAGTGGTGGGCGTCGCTAACTGAAAAGCTAACGCTAAAGCTCTACTCAAACACAGCATTTAATGGAAGCTAATGCTAAAGTGCTACATCGACATGGTATTTAGCTGAAGCTAATGCTAATTCAACACACCAACACAACTTCTTCCCATTGAGAGACTATAAACCTGAAGCACCAATTAAATTTTCACAATTATAATTTGCATATTTTATAAAACCCTCAGATGTTGTATTTATGTTTATCTTGTTTTCTATTGTCTGTTTTTATTTTGTTTCTTGTTTAAAATAAAATGAGAGGAAACAGCTGCTGCTTATTCAGTGTTCACCACTTCAAAATAAGAGCATGAATATAAATGCCTAACTACTCAAAAAGTCTGAATAATCGATAACCACAGACTTATTCAGCTGAACATTTACAAAACAGCCAAGAAAATTTGATTTAGAAAATCTAATTTCTGAATTTTTCTGAATTTCCCATTATAAAAACTGAAGCTAGCTGCGCTAAATATTTTCAAAGATTAAAAAACACGAAGCGAAAAGCCAGTTTGGGTGTTAGCGCATTAGCAGTGTGCCCACTGCTGGTAGTATTTCAGTAAATTTCTTGCCTTGTAAAGCCAGAGAAGCAGCGGGACGTTAGCGGGGCGGCAGGAAGGTCGTCTGGGTCCAAACCCACCTGGAGCCGGTCTGCTGGACCAGAACCGTTTAAACCCGCAGGTTCTGCTGCTCCTGTCAGCTGCTTCATGGAGGCCAAACACGTTTCCAGCTGTTCAGGCAGCAGCAGCCGATCTCAGAGCCAGAAATGAAACGATGCCACAGAGGAGGAGCGACGGGAGTCATTCATTATCCAACAGGAGCCTGAGTGTTTTCTGAGTCCACTGAACACGGCGGTGAAGAGGGAAAGTCCTTCCCAACATTTATTACGAAACAAACAGTTTTTCATGACATCATTTGAAATGCTCGGCTCGTTTTGCTGCAGGTTGTTTCAACCATTTTACAGCCTGGAAATGTTTGCATCTGATGCATCATCTGAAATATTCATAAACAACAGAGACGCTCCTCATTTCTTCTTCACTCCAGAGAATAAAACACATTTTAGTTTTTGTTTACTGGAAAATCAAAATACAGACAGATCAGATTACTTTCTTCTTCTTTAACTTCCTGCTGCTGCTGAAGCCAGTTAGCTTCATGAAGCTGTTGAGTTTTTTAGATGCAATGATGTAACAATGTCATGATGAAAGAGCAATCGTTAGCTACTTCTGACTTTCACTTGCTTAAAACATGCTGCAGTGGCTCTGCTCTGACCAGAGGACAGGTTTTGGTTCTCCTCTCGGGTCGCAGCATGTCATCGATCCAGAAAAGTCCAGAATGTTTCTAATCACAGATTCCTCTCCTCTTCCTTTTCCACCAGTACTCCCAGTTACAACTACGCCCCGAACCCAGACAAGCACTGGATCATGCGCTACACGGGCCCCATGAAGCCCATCCACATGGAGTTCACCAACGTGCTGCAGAGGAAGCGGCTGCAGACGCTGCTGTCTGTGGACGACAGCGTGGAGCAGGCAAGACCCGGAGCTGGACCCACAAAACGGCTGGAGCCGGACCGGGGCGGGTAAAACCCGGCCGCAGCGGCGTGTTTCTGACCCGTTTGATTCTGTGTCTCAGCTCTTCAACATGCTGGTGGAGACGGCAGAGCTGGAGAACACCTACATCATCTACACGTCCGACCACGGCTACCACATCGGGCAGTTTGGCCTAGTCAAAGGTGAGGAAGCCATTCAGCCAATCATGTTTTAATATAAACTGTCATCAAACTTTCCTGAGATCCTGGGATTTTAAAACATAAAACTGCATAAATCTTCAGTATTTAATCGATCCTATAATCTTACATCTGGACTTAGTAATTTTAAAATGTTTTAGCATATTTTAGCCATATTTAGCCTAATTTTGTTTAGTTTAGAATAGTTTACCTTCTAAAACATTTTTTCATTTCAGTTAATTGTGTCTTGTTTTAGTTTGTTTAATTCTACCTTACAGCTATTTTAGCTTGCTTTAGAAAATTTACCATATCTTAGTTCACTTTATTGTATTTTAGCTTATTTAGCTTAGCTTGGTTCACTTTAGCTAGCGTAACAATTTTAGCTTATCTTATTTTACCTCACAGTATCTTATTTAGCTCAGCTTATTTTATGTTAGCTTGCTTTAGTTGATTTAGCTTAGCTGAAATTTTTTAGCTTAGTTTATTTTAGCTCAACCTTAGCTTTATTTTTGACTTAGCTTATTCTGCTTTTCCTACTTTCTTATTTTAGCTTACCTTAGCACAATTAGCTTAGCTTACTTTATTTTAGCTTCCTCAGTAACTTAACGCAGGTTGACCCATAGATCAGATCAGGTTAAAACAACAAAGAATTTCTGGATAACTGAGGTTCAGTGGAAATAAATGAAATGTTTGCATTGAATCTGCAGCAACCAGAAACCTGGAGGTTTAGCACAAAGCTAACTGTTGACCTCTGCCCCCTGCTGCGTGTTATTGTAACGCTCTTGGCTGTTTTCTGCAGGTAAATCCATGCCGTATGAGTTTGACATCAGAGTCCCGTTTTACATCAGAGGACCGAACGTGGAGCAAGGCAGCATGTAAGCTCAACCAGCAGGAGCTCATCCGCTCACTCACCACTTCCCCACAGATCAGTTCATGTGTTCAACGTGGAAATCAGGAAGGAGTTTTCCCCAGCATCAGTTAGATCATCTGGAAGAACTTTAAAGCTCTTGTGTTAGAAATGTGCATCCAATAAAGGGTAAAGCAGATCAGTGTGACAGCAGAATGCATCAAAGCGCAGCAGATTAGATTCCTGTGTTGTGCAGAGTGGCTGTGTGTTGGTGGAGCTGCTAAAGTAGATTATTGGCGTCAGAGCTGCAGACTTACCGAGTCGCTCTCTTTCCCTGCTCTGCTCCTGTTTCTGCTCTCTGCCCATTCACATGAATTATTTACTTCCAAATGTTCAACAGAACCGCATCCACACATTCACTCCTCCTGATGCTGCAGATTGAGCTTTTCCAGTTCCACTTTTTAAAAGTTTAAAGCATAAAACAGAAGGAGGCTAACAGCTCATAGGCTAACAGCTCATAGGCTAACAGCTCATAGGCTAACAGCTCATAGGCTAATGTCTGTGAGGAAAACATGCTAACTTCCTTGGGAGGGGCGGAGACGTTCACACTGTGTGTGTTTCAGAAACCCCCACATGGTCCTGAACATCGACCTGGCTCCCACCATCCTGGACATCGCGGGCCTGGACACGCCGCCGGACATGGACGGGAAGTCCATCCTGTCCCTGCTGGACACGGACAAACCTGCCAACAGGTGACATGATGGAAACAAACACTGGTTGTTAAGGTCGGCCCGGTTTGACTTATCGGACCGATACTGATGCTAACTCACATGGTTCAATAACGGATCAACAGCCTTTAAATGATCAAACTTTAATATTGATCATATTGAATAATGATCAATGCTTTAATATTGGCCTGTAGCATATTTACTATCATTACACCTCCACAGAACCCCATTTCAGCAAATCTGAACTGTCCCTTTAACTGTTATCCAGTGTGATAAACTCAACATGGGGTCACAAGTATAAAAACTGCAGGTTGAAGTTTAAATAAATCCAGACTCTCATCATCAAATCTGATCAGATGCATTGATTACCTGATCGGTTGTTGTGTTTCCAGGTGAGTTGGAGAAGCAACTGTAGCCGAACGCTAGTCAGTTTTTTTTTTTTTTTTTTTTTTTTTTTTTTTTTTTTTTTTTGTAATTTTTTTCTGCCTTTTTTGTAGTTTTTTTTAAAAATTTTAAAT